AAGATACTTGTGAGGCATGCACCTCGTTGGTGAACGTGATTTATGACACAGACTGAGGGGAGGGAGGAAACAGGGGTAAAGTTCAGCCATAGTTAAAATGAGATCAGATCTGACTGCATTGGGGTATTGCTGAAATGGTGTTCCTAATAAATGACTGGATTTCTTTTGAAACTCGGCTGGAGGCTCATGGATTAATTAGGGCATCTTTCAGAAACCTGACAATACTTTCTACTTTTTAAAACTTTGGTGGCTATCCTAAACTTGTTGATGCCTCCCCTACAAGTTTCTCCTTAATTCCAGGTTGCTTCTCTCCTTGATTAGTTGCCATCCATTGCTTCTTGTCCTGCCTTCAGCTGCTTTGGAAAATAAGTTGAACCCCCTCTTTTTCTGGGGCAGCCCTTCAAATACTGGAATACCCCCCTCGTGTCACCTCTAGTCCTCCTTTGCTCTAGATTAGCCAAACCCAATTCCATACCCAACCATTTTTCTTAATCTATTGGCACAGATGAGATGAGTGAGAGCCGTCAGACGCACGTCACGCTCCACGATATTGATCCGCAGGCTCTGGAACAGCTGGTCCAGTACGCCTACACTGCTGAGATCGTGGTGGGAGAAGGGAATGTGCAGGTAAGAATGGATCCATCCAGCAAGGATTCAAAGTGCGCCAACAAACAATGCTTTTGGGGGACGAACACTGTCAGTCCTGCTCCAGTTGGATCCCTTAGCAAAGAAAGACCCTCGACTCCCATTTGGTTGAACTGAAAGGTTCTTTTACTAAAAAGAGGTTGGCTGCAGCAAAGTCAGGCTAGATACAAAAAAGATACAGAAAGGTTTCCCCACATCCCAGCCCTCCCTCCCATGACTGTCTTCAGCAAATCGGAACTCACCAAAGTGTTTTGAGAATGCTGAGGTGTTTTGGGGGGAGGGGTATTTCACATTGTTTCTCAAGGTGCCTGGCCTTGGATTCCAAGCTTCTCTGCTCTTTATCAGAGGTACCTTCAAAAATTAGAGGAAGATAAGTGGATCAGATGGGGATGCAGTGGCTCAATGGCTAAGATGCTGAGCTTGCCGATCAGAAAGGTCAGCAGTTCAGCGGTTCGAATCCCTAACACCACATAACGGAGTGAGCTCTCTTTACTTGTCCCAGCTTCTGCCAACCTAGTAGTTCAAAAGCACGTAAAAAATGTAGTAGAAAAATAGGGACCACCTTTGGTGGGAAGGGAACAGCGTTCTGGGTGCCTTTGGCGTTGAGTCATGCCAGCCATATGACCACGGAGATGTCTTCGGACAGCGCTGGCTCTTCGGCTTTGAAACGGAGATGAGCACCACCCCCTAGAGTCGGGAACGACTAGCACATATGTGTGAGGGGAACCTTTACCTTAATACAAAAGCTTTCCTTGCCCAGTGCGAGATCTAAGTTGTGGATTGTCTGTGGAACTCCTGGCCACAAGAATGCAGCCAAGAGTCTCTCTCTCTCTCTCTCTCTCCTTTTTCTTCAGACATTGCTCCCTGCAGCCAGCCTCCTGCAGCTGAACGGGGTGCGGGATGCCTGCTGCAAGTTTCTCTTGAGCCAATTAGACCCCTCCAACTGTCTGGGCATCCGAGGTTTTGCAGACACCCACTCCTGCAGCGATCTCTTGAAATCGGCGCACAAGTACGTTTTGCAACACTTTGTGGATGTCTCCAAGACGGAGGAGTTTATGTTGCTGCCTCTCAAACAGGTGAGGTTGGGGGAAGGGAGATATCCAGGTGGAGGTAAAAGTTTATTGAAGATCGGGTGGCAGAGGAGAGAGAGCGAGAGAGAGAGACATTGCTTAGAATTGTCTTTATCTAAGCCAATTCCATCCTTGGACCTAGGGAGACTCGTTGCTCAGAATTGTTGAGGTCAAATTCCATCTTCTTCAATCCGGATGGACCAATTGTTGTTAATTGTCTTTGTTCAAGTCAATTCCATCCTTGGATCAGGGAGACTCGTTGCTCAGAACTGTCCTCATTTAGGTCAACGCCATCTTCTTGGATACAAGGAAACCCACTGCTCAGAACTGTCTTGGTCCAAACGAATTCCATCATCTCGGATCCAGGTTGAACCATTGCTTGGAATTGTCTTCATTCAAGCCAATTCCATCCTCTCGGTTCCAGGTTGAACCATTGCTCAAAATTGTCTTTGTCCAAGCCAATTCCATTCTCTCGGTTCCAGGTTGAACCATTGCTCAAAACTGTCTTTGTCCAAGCCAATTCCATCCTCTCGGTTCCAGGTTGAACCATTGCTTGGAATTGTCTTTGTTCAAGTACAATTCCATCCTTCGATCCAGGGAAACTCATTACTCAGAACTGTCTCGGCCAAGCCAATTCCATCATTTCGGATCCAGGTTGAACCATTGCTTGGAATTGTCTTTATCCAAGCCAATTCTCTCAGTTCCAGGTTGACCCATTGTTCAGAATTGCCTTTGTTCAAGTCAATTCCATCCTTGGACCCAGGGAGACTCTTTGCGCAGAATTGTCCTTGTTGAGGTCAACGCCATCTTCTTGGATCCAGGGAAACCCACTACTCAGTACTGTCTTGGTCCAAGCCAATTTCATCCTCTGGGATCTGGGTTGAACCATTGCTCGGAATTGTCTTTATCCAAGTTAATTCTATCCTCTCGGATCAAGGTTGACCTGTTCTTCAGAATTGCCTTTATCCAAGCCATTTCCATCCTCTCAGATTCAAACTACAAAATATTCCTTTCTTTCTTTTCCTCTGGGCAGGTGTTAGATCTCATCTCCAGCGACAGCCTCAATGTGCCTTCGGAAGAGGAAGTTTATCGAGCCGTTTTGAGCTGGGTGAAGCACGACGTGGACAGCCGGAAGCAGAATATTCCCCGAGTACGTTGCTTTCCAAGATAAATTGTAAGCATTTGTTGAAAAGACGGATGATCTGGAATCACCCCGGGAGCCTCGCACATTCCTCCTCAGTTATGATGGAGAGGCTTTCCTTAATGCTTACAAATGTGGGTCTTGTTTCTTGAAGGGTTCTCGCCATCACCATTTCCCCAAATACTGGTTTTTAAAAATATATACCTTTTCTGTTTGGATCAAAAGTGTTGTAGCCTGCCAGCAGAGCTGGCAGCAGATTCGGGCAGTGAGGAGATTGGGGAGGAAGATGGGCCAGTCCTGGAGTCTGGGGAAGGCTCTGAGGAGGGCTCTGTGTCGGAGGCAGAGAGGGGGCCAGGGCCGTATGCCAGTTATCAGCTGCCTTCAGAGTCAGACATCAGTGAGGCAGAAGAACAGCTGGAGCCTGTTCCCAGTGTGAGTTACCAGACGAAGGGAA